CACTGAGCCACAACCCCAACCCCAACCCTACATTTTTCTTTGAAAATAAAATTTCATAGTGATATTTCCACCTACATGGTCTATATTTTGATAGTATTAATGATTTAATTCCAGAAGAATGTAGAGTGCTTGAGATATTGTTTTCTGGCATGAGAGAGTGAGGAGGTTGACAAAACCTTCCCCCCAAAGCAAATGGGAAGATGGAAGAAAGACTATCAAAAACATCCATTTTCATGCTCTAGAACTAAAGGCAGTTAGTAATAACAGACTCAGAAGCATTTGTTCAAGGAAATTACTAAGCTTGGGGTAGGAACAAAATTGATTTGTGGTGTTCTTCACCATCTTGTTCCCATTCCCCTCCTCCCCTCCAGCACTGTTAGGTGATGGTTCAACCAGGTAGGGTAAACTGAAAACTAACAGGCTTGCTGCTGCTTCCAGAAGGGGCTCACTCTTTTTGGAGGATTGTCAGTTCAAGTGGCCAACTTGGTGGTAAATGAGCAGAAGAGGCCAATACTTCCAAGGGGTTGAGTTTATAGTCCTCTTTGAAGCAAGGTCTTTCTGGTGACTTAATAAGTAGTTCTGGGAGGTGAGAGAGCCATCAGGGGCTTCATGGCTTTCTGTATATCCCAGACTGAACTTAGTCTGTGTGCATGATCAGGAAAGATGGAGCAGGTCCAAGACACCCACGTATACCTGGCCAGTGGAGCCCATGAGCACACACACAGGGTTTGTGGGAAGCCAGCAGAAGGTAAAAGCCAAGGTGGACGTGAAAACAGCCTGAGGTTTGCACGTGCTCCCCAGCCCACACACAGAATCAGAAGCAGAGGGAAGTGTTCTGGCACAAGACAGAACACTAAGCTATGCATACATGGGGATAACCCTTGGAAATCAGACTTAGAAACAAAAACTTAGAAAAATAAATTTAGTAGAGGCATCAGCAACTGTCCCTTATGTGGGAGACAAATATCACAGACTTAGTTTAGGAAAATTATTAAATAAGAAAAACAATAGCAACAACTCCTGTGGGAAAAAAAAATCAGAATTCAGAGTACTAATTAAATTGCCCAGAATTCAACAAAACATTTAGACATTATGTGGGAAAAGAGCACCCATAGGAACTAGCTCTGAGCATCTGTCCTCTGATGGAGGATTTAGCTGAAAAACACTGTAAAACACCTATTTAAATATGTTCAGAAATTGGGAGGCAGCCATGTTTAAAGAGTCAAAGGAAACACTCAACGAACACAGAATTTCAATAAAAGAGATTTTTTTTTTTTTTTAAAAAGATACAAATGGAAATTCTGGATTTGAAAAGTATAACTGAAATAAAAATTCTCTATATGGACTCAACAACAGATATGAGATGGAAAAAGAAAGAATACGTGAACTGGAGGGTAGAACAAAAGAAATTATTCGACCTAAAGAATAAAGATTTTTTTAATTGAAAAAAAAAGTGAACAGAGCCTTAGAGACCTGTGAGACATCAAGTGTATCTATCCATATATATATATAATAACAATCCCAGAAGAAGAGGAGATGGAATAGATGAAACATTTAAAGAAATAATTGCTGAAATACCCCATCTGATGAAAAATGTTAATTTACCTATCTAAAAAGCTTATCATATGAACAATCAAAGAGAAACTTACCTAGACAAATTGTAATCTAGCTGCTAAAAGATGAAATAATCTTATCAGCAGCTAGAGAAAATGATTTAACATTTAAGAAAACAATGCAATTAATAGCTGACTTCTCATCAGAAACAATGGAGGACATTTGTATTTCTTCTTTTGAGAAGTATCTGTTTAGATCTTTTGCCCTTTTATTGATTGGCTTATTAGTTATTTTGGTTTTAAGTTTTTTTGTTCTTTATATATAATGGATATTGATTCTCTGTTGGAAGAGGAGACAGCAAAGATTTTTTTCCTATTCTGGAGGTGCTCTCTTCATATCCTTATTTCCTTAGCTATGCGGAAGCTTTCTAATTTGATGCCACCCACTTATTGATTAAAATGGGAGGATCTTATGAAAATAAAAGGAGACTTATAGAATGGAGGAAGGGGATTAAGAGGGAGGGAGGAGGGAAAGACATGGGGAAGTACCGTGGAGTGAAATCTACCAGACTATGCTGTGCCTCTGTACTAATATAACATAATAAATCATATGTGTGTGTATAAAATTATGATATACTAATTTAATTAGTAATAACAATAATAGCAAGGAGATGAGTAGAGCAAGTGGATTTGTGGAGAAGGGGAGGAAAAGGAATGGTACTGGGGAATGATATTGATCAAATTATGTGCATGTAGGAATATGGCATAATGAATCCCACTATTATGTATAATTACAATGCACCAGTAAAAATAGGAAGACAGAAGAAAGTAGGATGACACATTCAGCATGCTACAAGAAAAGCCTATCAACTTTGATCAGAAAAACTGAGCTTCAAATATGAAAGAGAAATAAAGACTTCCAAATAAAGACAGATTTATTGCTAGCAGCCATCAATAATTACATTAAATATGAATGGACTAAATATCCCACTAAAAAACCAGATTGGATTAAAAACTATATTCTATCTACAAGAAACATACCTTAGATTCAGAGACACAAATAGACTGAAAGTGAGGATGTGGAGAAACTAGAACCCTCATAAATTGCTGGTTCATATGTATGCAACCACTTTGGAAAAGTTTGGTATTTTTTAAAAATGTCAAACTTAAATGGACTTACAATGCATCAGTTCTAAAGAATTAAATTAAAATAAATGAAAATATTTGTCTACCAGAAGCCTTATACATGGGTGTTTATAGCAGCGTTATTCATAACAGCCCAAAACTAGAAACAATCTAAGTGTGACTTTATTGGCTAATAGATAACAAGATACGCGCGCACACACACACACACACACACACACAAATATCAGTCAACAATAAGAAATTAGCTACTAATACATTGGTATGACATGGATGAATCTCAGAAACATTAAGTGAAAGAAACTAGTCACAAAATAATGCATATAGTATTGTGCCATTTTATGTGAAATGTTCAGAAAAGGCAAACCTTTGGAGACAGGATGTATCCGCATGGTTTTTTGGAACAGAAACTGATTGCAAAATATGCTTGAAGGAGTTGATTTGGGTAATGGAAATATTCTATGACTGGATTATAATGATGATTGCACAATCATTTAAATTAATTTATTAAGTTTGCTCATTAAAAATCATTGCATTTTATAATTACAGCAATTTCATCCCTGGAAATTGTAAAGTAGCAATACACAAGCAATCTGCTTGTATCTTGTCCTTTATGATTTGGTAGGACATTTTTTCTTTATGTGGCTTTGTCTAGTTGATCATTAGTGTCATAAATCTTCTTTTTATTTGTTTTAATTTTTCCCTAAACTCTACGGGAGGTTTAGAATCTCTTTCTCAAGAGTTACTTCAGAAGAGGGATGATTTCTAATGGGTTGCTGTGGTTTAAGGCTAATCCTTCTTAAGTATGGAAGATTGAATTAGATGAGCCATTAAAGTCTCTTTCAGCCTCAGTACATGGAGCAATCTCTCTCTTTCTCTCCCCTCCCCTTTTTTATTTTCTATTGACAATAAGTTCTGTGATCCTCAGTGTCAAAATATGCATATGTTATTTGGACCACCTACACATCCACATGTACTGACATTTGAAATATGACACGATTACACTTAGTAATACAGCATTTCCTCATGATGTCAAATGACTCCACTGGTGTCAGCATATTCAGAAAGTGACTCAGAAGGATGTTCCATTGGTGCCAGAGGAGAATTTGGATCCTGCTAGAGACTCAAGATACATGGGCAGGAAGGTCATTAGGGGCTCAGGGTGCCTTTTTCCTTGCTCCAAAAAGGATCCGTTCTTGACCATTTTCCAAGGAGTTGTCACAAGAGCTTCATCACTTCTAAATTCTCAGGAAAGCCATTCATTTCTCTTTCTGGTTCTTACTTTTCTCAGCATATTTTTCTGGCTTGAGAATACTTAGCATAGAGAAAAAAAATTCCTTCAAAGA